ATGTATGTATGTATGTATGTATGTATGTATGTATGTATGTATGTATGGAAAATGGTAGAAGGGGCAAACTTAAGATATGAGAGAGGACCATCATTTAGTAATTTGGACTGATAATGAAACCGTAACTGGAGCCAGTTAAATAGGCTTCCATTACTTGTGTTTGGAGAACGTATTGAGCATAACCACAAAGGGAAACAACCCAGAGAAAAAACCTCATTCGGGCCGATAAAGATCGATATGACACGACTTGCTTATTATTTTCAACAACAAACCCACTATGAGATAGGATATCCCAGATGATCCCAGATGATCCCAGATGTCCGTTTTTCTGGCTGTGTGTTTTTCACTCGCTTTAACTCAAACCCTGCCAGCAGATGCTTCACCTGAGAGTCAACCACCATCTGTGTAGATGCCTTTGGATTATCTTTGATTCCTGTAACGGAACATTTATGGGAAAACATACCATAAAATAACCAAAGATCTTAAAAATACTTTTTTTAAAAAAGCACCTGTCTCAAGTGTTTAACATAGAACAACCAGGCTAATGGGCCTGTTTCGCTGCACTAATAAGGCAGACGTGTGCCTGAGCCGGAGTGTTCCTCAGGTCGGCATGTCTCGCCGGCACGCTGACGTTAAACCAATCCCAGCAGCTACCGAGACACTAGTTAGCATCGGGGGCGCTTTCCCCGAGGCGAAACGCTCACACGGCGCGGGTCCACATCAAAGGACCCCCGCAAGCCTGTCTGCGGCGCGCGGTTCAGAGCGGCGCTCCAGGGTGCGCCCCGCTTCCTGCGCGTCCGTGTGGGCGGTTTCTTAGAGCCTGTGTGTAACGCGCACAGGCCCTGTGTTTTTACTGTGCTTGTATGTGTAAACCACCACAGTCAACAAAGAGGCTAATCCTCCAGGCGAAAGAGATGCTCTCAGATTTCGTCTCTTTTTTTCTTTTTTTTCCATGTGTGTGCTGAATCCAAATGTGTGCGCTTGGGTGGAGGGGGGTAGGCTGAGTCTTCAAAGTGCATCGAGTGCAAATATCGGCCTTACAGTCGGCGGGGAGAGAGTCAGACAGGCAGAATGTTTGCATTGAGGTTATGACCTCCAAATGACATGTTTTTTTCATCTGAAACTGATCAATATTCTTCGGTGTTGACTTGTAGTTGTAGTTGGTGTTTGTTTCCACAATGTCTCTCTCCTTCTTAGACTAAAATGTTTATAACAGAGAAGTGAGGAAGAATCTTTCTGATGCATTTAAAATGAATTTCTAAATAAGATAAAAACACAAAGGTCTACCTCGGGTTTGCTGAGGCTGGAGGACACCAAGCACCCCGAGCCAACGTCTAGGTCCCACTGCTTCCTGCCCTGGTTGTGAGGATCCAGGGCTGAGATCCGCCCATCCAGGGTACTGATGATCACCAGAGACCTGTGAACACAACACACACTTCAGTTTCATCCCAAAACAGGGTCACGCACCCTTGATGCAGCTTAACACAACAGGTGGCTCTTTTTGTAGCCCACACTGCATTTAACAAGGTATTGCATCCATGAAAGGCTAATTTGTTTATTTCAAAGAAGAAGAAAAAGCTTTAAAAGCTGTCACCCCTGAGGTTTTTTTTTTCTTTTCTGGTTAAGTGCCATTGCAGACCAGACACTAAAGAGCAAAGAGTTGTCAAGCGGCGGTGCATGTGTCACCTTTCCTCTCGGGTCCAAGTGGAGCAACCTTTGACACATGTCCCCTGACAAACCCCGTTACGGCTAGTGATTTGGGTGGATTAAAGGGGATTATTCAAAATCATTCGGTCACATTACCAGGCTGTTGCACCGATATTTCAGATGAGAAAGTTTAAAAACATATGCTAAGAGTAAACTTGACATATTAGGTTTAAGGTGCAACCATCAACCATACGGCCCTTAATTAACCATGAAGCCCTAACCCTAACCCTAACCAAACCCCAGCCCTAGCATTCGTGCTAAAAATTCCACCCATTCAGAGCGAGAAACCAGAAAAACAAGGAGACAAGAGCCACATTCCTCCAAGGTTAAATATCTAGGAACTGATGCATGGGCATGACTGTGTCCTTTGATCTTGAAGGTTTGGAGTTCAAGCAGGCAGCATCTGAGCTGCAGGCATCATCAAAACACGGGAAACTTTACTCTCAATATTTCCACTGGATTCTTCAAATGAGCGATTGAAATAAAAACTTTAAACCCCTTCTGATCCTGGCACTTTTGTATGCTTTTTTTGTTTGTTTGTTTGTTTGTTTTCCTTTGGTTTTTAATACCTTGGAAATAAATGATGGTGTTCATCATTAACTTTAAGTGGAAGGTGCACTGAAGAGAAAAGAGCACCACCTGTAATACTGAATGAATCCATTTTACACATAATTCATTCAGAAATATGACAATATGGCTGACTGTGCAGCTGCGGCTGAGACTGGGGGTGGAGGGGAGAAGCTGCAGGGGTGGGGGCGTGTTTACTTTCCATGATCTACGATCTGAGGACGCTTAACGGCTGCGGCGTGCCTCGCCCGGGAGAAGGATTGGAAAGTATCACAGTGACGAATTTTAACCCCAATTAATATCCCGGCCGCGTGTGTTCGCAGTGGCCTCCTTTTCCCTCTTCTTTTTTTTTGGGGGACTCTTAACTTAAATGAATTGAGACCTCTGGCCACACCCGCTGCCTAACTGTCAGACTAACTGCCGCATTGCTTGTCAATCAAGCGCAGCCCCCCCCACCCACCCATCCCACCCCGAGTGGCCGCATCCACAGTATTGATTTGTATCTGTCTAGAGGAGGTGCTGTCAACTGGGCTTTTAGCTTTATTTAACCAGCCGGGGCCTGTGCGAGCCATCTCTGAGCACCCGCAGCATGACATCCGTGCAGTTCGGTGGGGGGGGGGGTTAACATCCTCCCCCTATAGGGTAACTAGAATGAAGATGCTGAAGGAGAGCAAAGTGTCATATTTGTTCTCTCTCCCAATGGAATCACCAAACAGCAGTGAAATTAAATATGCTTCTCCACAGCTGAATCTTAAGTTATGGTTTTAAAGCAGCAGAGAGCTCCCACCTCGCCCTAATATCTCGTTGATCCGTGCTATTGATCAATCCTCAGTGATGAAAGGGAATGAGAATGTTCCACTGGAAAGTTAAGGGCTTTAATGGATTATTTCTAATCAATTTTTAGTAACATTTCTGTAGTCGGACATGTTTCCCTGGGAAGTTTACTCATCTGAAGGGGCAGCGCGAGTCCGTGTGAAAACACGCTAATGGGATGACTGAACAAGCGCAGTCGTTTTGCCCCATCAAAGCTGAGATTATCTTCCCCAATCTGCTCTGAGCATCATCAGCTTGCCACTAGCGCCCGAGTGCAGGCTGCTAAGAAAAACATTGTTTTTCCCCTCACAGCCACCAATGAAAAGCACGGCGCTCCAGCCTGCTCTCACCCTCTCAATTGGCTGCCAGGGCCTGCCAAAAATATTAGGCTGATTGGTTGTTGCTAAGCAGTCCGCTCTCCGAGAGCGCGGAAGGCTTTGGCGGCTTTCAGTCGGCCGGCCCCGCCGCCTCCCTCCCCTCCCCTCCCCTCCCTGCGCCGCTCCGCTCAAGTCTTACAGTGAGAGTAGAAGTGAGGTAAAAGTCACAGAGTTCATCTTCAGAGACACTCTCTGGTGTTAGAGAGAGATTTCATCCAGAGGGAACGATCAAAGGGGCTTCTTTGGGCTCTTTGTGCTCCAGATAAAGGAAGAGAAAGAGTGCTGGGGGGGGTGGGTGGGGGGGATTGGGGGGAGCTTTATTTTAAGGGTTGGTTATCATTACAGAGGGGAAAAAAACTACTTTAAATAAAAAAACAACAACAACCGGAGGAAAACAAACAGCCCCGGCTGCATCATTCACAACTCGAGGCAGTTTATTTACCACAGCTCTGCACCAAAGGGATGACATGTAGCCTGTGGGGCTGCTGCCTCCGACCGTGACACATGTGGAGACGCTGGAGAAGATGTTTGAATGAAAAGCCAGAAAAAAAAAAACGGGGGAAAAAAGGGGGGGAGAAAGAAGGAGTCCGCCAACAGACTGCGGGCTGTTAGCGTCCTCGTCTGTAATGCTGTCAAAGTGTCACAATGGTGCCGAGTTTGTTTCTTAAATCACAACGCGCACGGTGGTGCGGGGAGCCAATTAGCCCCGCTCTCACCAGACTCTGCTCCTCAGAGACGCTCCGCCTCGGTCTGCGCTCACCGGCGAGAGCCGAGCTGCTGGTAAACACGCTCCATTGAAAGAAACCACCAGGATGTTTACACAGGCTGAGTCTCCAAGGGGCGCCGGCTCCGGAGCCCGGCCAATCCCGGCAGCCGACCGATTTCCACGGCAGCCAATGGAGACGGCCCGCTTCCTCTTCGCTCAGCCAATGGCTGCGCGGCTCGGCGGGCTCCGAGCCACTGGCAGGGCAGGAATGCCTGTAACCATGCAACAGCGAGCAGCCTGGGCGCGCACGCCGGAGTGTGGAGCTCTGCTGCCGCACAGCTGCCACTCAGAGAGGCCCGGCAAAAAGGAAAAAAAAATATGAGAGCGTGGGGAGCACGTGGGGAGAAAGTTATGGATGCGGCTCCGAGTCGGCCGCACCCAGCGCCAGCAGCTGCATGAGGGACAGCAGCGGCCGTTTGGAGAGAGCCAGAGCTGGGAAGGGGTTTATAACGCCTGACTGGAGATCTTAAAAAGAAAAGAAAAACCAGGGCACGGCTATTTGTGTGCAACATATAAAACACATCCCAGCAAACCGGGTCTGTGACATCAGTAATCACATATGACATAACATCAGCACCTGAGCATTAAGGATTTATGTAACTTTACAAATAAACAAGATATCCTTTTGGGCCTTTCTTGGGCCGGACGAGGAATATCTTTACAAAAAAAAACAATGGATCCATCAGTGTTGTTGCAGCAGACTGAAGGGTGTGGTTCAACAGAAAAAAAGAAAAAACTTCCAAGTACTAGCACAAAAAAAACACACCATTTAGAAGTGTTGCCATCGCCCTCTCTCCCCTCCGCACACGTGGTAAAATCCAAACTCTGTGGCGCCACGCTCCTTCCAAGCCATTGGTCGACGCGCAGCCCCGATCCCGGGATCTGATTCGTTGTTGCTAAGCAGTGATGAGTCGATGAGAGTGAAAACAAGACAGCGTGGTCCTACTGACTATCAGCCAACTCTGTTTTCATCTACCCTCCCTACTTCTCTCTCTTTCTCTCTCTCCCCCCCCCACCTCCTTGTGTCTCTCAGAGAATCACACCTTTCTGCCTCTGCCCCACCCATACTGCAGTGCTGCCAGACGGGTCCTGCCGACTTACCAAAATAGCCACTGACCTAATAAAAATCGCTCCCACTGATAATCGCGTTTGGAAAAAGCGGCATTCTTCTGCGGCAACACTTCCCAGGGACCTGCTTAGCGCGTCTCCCGCTGCACGCGGCTGGAAACGGGGGGGTGGAACCGTGTCAGATGCTGCTCTCGCTGCCGTTAGCCAGAAAGTGTCAGTCGGGATCGCGGGGGGGGGGGGAGGTCAGGAAAAACATCTTGTTTCAAGGTCGACTCAGGGAAACTTCTTTGGGAAAAACAGCACTCAAATAAAGTACTTTGATAAACAAAGTAAAGGAAAAACAAACAGTTACATAAGGAAGTGACAAGGGTGAAATAGTAAAGATTATTTAGGGTTGTGTGGAATGACTCATTTACAACAAGCACTATGATAGAACTGAGCTTACACGGCTCATTTAAAACTTCCCATTGGGAGGTCAACAATCTCTGTCCCGACCTGTTATTTTTTCAAAGCGGCGTCTAGTGTCAAAAGCCAAAGTTGTTCGTCTTTAGTTCACCCTTCGCCTTACTGCGACCGGACCCTACGGCCCGACTCGAATTCTGAGCACTGGCCCATCTTTTGGGCTGCAATTGGCCCACAGACTGCCTGTCTCGGGCCGATTGGCTGTTGCTAAGCAGTAAGTTGGTAGAAGCTGGCCTGCAAACAAGGTGGCCCAGAAGAGCTGTTGCAGTTACAAAGCCCGGGGGTGTGTGTGCGTGTTTGTGCACGCGTGTGTGTGTGTGTGTCTGTGGAGTGGGGGGGGGGTGAAGCAGTTCAAACAAAGCCGCTGTCCTCGCTGCTCTCACCTGCAAGTGGTCCCCGGGGTGCGGGAGGAGAGCCCGGTGGAGCTGTTGCTTGTCGAAGCGTCAAAGCTGGCAGCGCCGTCACAACAGTGAGTCGCGCGCACGCCAAAGGGGCTGGAGGCGCATGCGCGCGCGCGCACGTGTGTGTGTGTGTGTGTGTGTGTGTGTGTGCGCGCAGAGGCAGGTGTAACGGCAAGTCTCCAGAGCAGAGTTTCTGACATAAAAGGCGTGAGGGGAAGGTGACGCGACAGCTGTCAAGACGACACGACGGCGGTGCTCGTCTCAATCCAAGGGGCAGGATCAAAGCAAACATCTGGAATATTTATAGTGTACAGGATGTAAAAAGGAACGGGGGGGGTAAAACCAAGTGCAAAGGACTGAAACTTTGAAAGGCTGACAGCTGAGCAGACAGATCTGCTTGTTTGTTGTTGTGGTTTGTTGTTGTGGTTTGTTTTTATGGCATTTCGTCAGGTTTGGGTCAGAAAAAGCTAGTGGTAGCTAAAGGTAGTGGATAAATGAGTGGCTTGGTTTTTCCAGTCACAGAGTTTGTTCCGTTTGACTCTGTCTGACACTGATAGAAGCGACGGACAGCCGAAAACCTTATCAAATCACTTATTTCTACAAACTTAAGCCCACCATCACCACTTTGGGCACCGAATAGCTCAATTAAAAACACAGCACCAACTTGCTTGAAATGTTTGACATCAACTATGTTTGTTACAATTCTTAAATGGCTCATATGAAAAGGAACAGAAACCAATGTTTCATTCCTTGTGAAATATCTCAGCAACCACAGCATTGGCGCTGGAAGAACCAGGCAGGTGGAGAACACAGCATCCCATATGTGGTATCATATATACTCCAGGGGTGGCATTAAAAAGCAATGCGCAGAGTGAGAAACATCAAGCGTGGGGAAGATGAGAGAGACTAAACTCGAGAGTGGGAGACAAAGAGAGTAAATTCAAGAGAAGGAGAGCCAACTCCGGGGCACGACAGCAGAGAGCGTGGCCCCTATCTCGCAGCATTCTCCAAGAACTCTCCATTTGCCGACTAATTTTGTTGACTTGGGCTGTAGATGTTAGTAAAAAAAAAGAAAAGAAAGAACAGACACCTTCTGTGGAGGACTACATGGGAGACCTCTCCGAGGCGCAAACGGCAAATGCGAGGCACGGGCAGCAGGTGATGCAGCAGGTGAGAGGGGTGAGAGCGGGAGGAGGAGAAGGCGCAGAGAGCCGGCAGCAGGGTGTGACCAGCGCAGGGACGGGAAACGCTCAGGAGTTTTCCAGCAGCAGCTGAGGTGACTGGCTGGGGAATTAGCCCGCTTCTTTCCGAGCAAAACTGCTCCGGTGATTACTTTCAGTTTGCTGCTAGACGGTTTGTGGCAGACGACGGGCTTCTTCCACTGACCTCTAGTCCCCCCCCCCAAAAGTCTGTGCCGGCCACTTCTGGTTTTGTAGGGTGTGGAGAACAGAAAATAATAATAAAACATTTACATACATCAGAGTTGGACACATTAAAAACTAAAACTACATATTCCTTCCGACTTGAGCTTCGTGGGGCCGACTGGAAGGCTCCCCTACTGCGAGAACGCAGGGTTTGCAGTCCACAAGTGAACGCTTTGGGTGGGGGGTTATGAGAGAGCTGTAAAGTGAGCTTCAAGATTTAAAAAAAGAAAAAAAGGGTCGGAAGAATCGGAAACCAGCTGAATATTTAACCGCCGCACAGACACGGTTAGACGCGTTAAGGTCAGAAGACTCACAAGAATCTTCAAAAAGGGGTTCGACACCGACAAGGTTTTCCAGCTTTATGATGTCAATCAAACTCCCTCTCGAGTAACAGACAGGATGTTTAGGTTACTACACAGAGAATAATTTAACATGGGACCATGCTTCCACCCTAAAAAAAAAAAAAAAAAAGAAGAAAAAAAGGCACTGAAATAATGAGGATTTGTGTAAGGGGGGTTGGAAGAGATATAGCACAGGGGAAACCACCACTCTAGTGGTCCTGGTCAAAAATGAAGAAATAATAAATACAGGAGAGGAGGAACATCATAGAGAACCACACTGCACCAAATATCCGAGGTGGGCGTCAGACCTACTGTTTTCCAACCAACCAAGCAGTGCTGTATGGGGTGTGTGTGAGTGTGTGTGTGTGTGTGTGTGTGTGTGAGGCAGGAAACTTTAACCAGGCAGCTACACAGCATGCCTTCACATCATCTCATAGCCGCGAGTTGTCCAGTTTTCAACTCCACTCTCAAGCAGGTGCACCGACACCCGCCATGTTTTTGAACGGTTCCCGAGCCCGAGCTATCAGACGGGCGAGAAAGGCAGCCTTAACCCCCCCCCAAAAAACCGACCAAGACTTAACCTGAAACTCCTGCTTAACTGCCAGTTAATTCGCCGCGAAACCAACTTGTTCTCCGCTGAGAAGTGAGCCATGTGCTGGCTGGAGGACATAAGGGAGGGGAGGGGGGTTAACTCTGTTGTCAGGTGAGAGGAGGGAAGGCTTCTCGCTTTTTACCGTGCCGGAAACTTTGGTGCGGCGTTTTTCCACAAAACAAACATGGCTACGAATTGGAAGGGGAAAAAAATACTGTAAATGCCACGGGTCAATTTGGGACGCGTTCCGTCTCACGGTTAAATATAGGCTGCCTTTACAAGCCAGCCGGTTCAGAGCACGGCGGAACTTTTTAAGCGGGTATCGCCAAACTTTCTGGAAGATGACATTGAGAGGTGTATGACGACCTGCATGGCGTTAATGGTCTATCTCGAAAACTTTGAGCAATATCAAAACTGTTTCTAGATGTATGTGTCATGGTAATATATATTTTTAGTAAGCATGTATTACGACCGTGAAACTGTTAGGCCATCCCAGCTTTTCAAAAAGATTTTCCTTCAAAACTTTACAAAAAACAACAGCCTGTGCCCATTATCGGACACCACGACGAATTGTTTTTCGTCTTTTTTCCTTCTCTCCCTCTCAGTAGTTCTCACTGACACGCCGCTTTCACCTCTTGACAGCCCCCAAACAAATATTCCACACTGTCAGCGGACAGTTGCGGGGAAATAACACGTTGCATACGAAACACGAACCACAACGTTTTTTTTTTTTACATTAGAGTCGTGGCGGATGGATACACAACATGTACAAGTCAAGTGTTGTCAAAGTGTCGTTGATTGCTAGCATAAATTTTAAAAAGTCGTTAGCATTGATACACTTTTCCCTTGAAGAGATTCTACACACTGGAAGTCTGACAGTGGGAACCAAGTAATGAGTCCTGTATTTCGAAAACTTAAAAAGAAATAAATTGAATGAATTACCTTGTAGACCGGACGTTCCCGTTACTTTCTCCGTATGACTCGTCGGCCTCACCTGCCGACTCATTTTCGTCGTCCTCCACGGTAACGTCTGCTCCGGTGACCGGGGCGCCTACGTTCTCCAAGCCGCGCTCCATGACTCTCGCACCATCCTCCGCCGGGGTCGAACGTGAACCCCGGGTGGCCGACTGCGACTCCCTCCCGACGGTGGAGCCCTGAGCTTGCGAGGTCCCGAATCCTATGAGCGCTTTGAGCAACAGCAGGAGCACCAGGGAAATGCTCACGTTTCCAAAGTGAAGCCCCCTTTCCATTTGTAAGACTGGCACATTAGTGAAATATGAGATTTACATGCCACTGGCCTTGTAAATCCGAACATAAAATTAAGGTTTAAGTGCAAAAGAAGCGGACGACATAGAAAAACTTAGCCGCGTCTACAAAAAAAACGCCCCTTTGAATGTGTTCTTTAAGTAAACATAAACAGCCTCTGGGACACCATGTTATTCCCTTTATACTAGATTGAGACTTGCCTTGGTAACGCTAAATCCCGCCTTGTTTCCACACCACGGTTGGACAGTAAAATTCATAAAAGCGTACAACTTTCCTGTGGTCTTCTTTTACTGCGTGACCTGCTGTCAGTCACGCATCCTCGCATACTAAGCAAAATGTGATTGCACCGTGTATCCGTCACTCAAAGTCGTGGCATCGGCTGTTGCCGCCCCCCCAAACAGTGAAGGCCATTGGCTGAGCCCCAGTCTGTCACAACGACGCAAGCGCAATGGCAAAGATGACGCATAAATATTCCCCGACGGCGATTCTCGTTGAATCTCTATGATTGGCTGATAATGGATTTATCCGTCCAATAAGAGCGGCGTTGCCGAAAGGCGGAGACGCTATTGGCCTACTCGAGCCCATTAAAACACATAGAAACGCCGTATTGGACAATTGAACCGTCATTCAAACGCAGTTGTCAAGACCAGCCGACTCGAAAGCTTCAACGTGGCTTCAGTGGAGGTGACAGATACGGTTCCTGTTCCTGGTCACGAGTTAGTTTCTTACTTTCACCTAAACAATCAAACAGGAACATGACAATACCTCTCCATTACGACATGCATATCTAGCAACTTTTTCAAAGTATTTTTTAACGTAGTTTATACTTTTAGAGCTACGTATGAGGTCAGCGTCTGTAAGTCTGCTGTGCTTGCAGTAACACTTTAAAGGACTCAAAGTTGCTGCATTTCTGGCGCCTCCTTGTGGCCAAAGAGGTGCATTGCTAAGACTTAGATTTGAAAGTAATTTTCGACCTAAAAATGATGAATTTGGTAAACTAAACTGAATTCAAATTGTATAAATAAAATTTGAAAAATGGGAAATTATTCAATTTATGTACATAGTAGCACTTAGTCGAGTAAGTGTATAAAATGGACTCAGGATAAATAACTGGAAGACTATTAGGTGACAAACATATACTTAAGCATTGTATACAGTGGAATAAAAAATAAAAAAAAGAATACCTTAGACAAAATTATTAGAAATAAAACAAGCAGGCAGGTTTTCATTTTTGGTCCTGTATTGATTTGCAAAGAAAATAGTACCTTCACAGAAAAATTATATTCACAGTCGACTGGTTGAGAAGAGGATGAGGGAAACGCTGGTGTAGTTCTGCTGTCACAGCCTCAGAGGCTGAGAGAACATACAATCTGGCTTCTTTCTTTCCTTAATGAGGCTAAAATTAAATTCACCTGAAATGAGCTTGTTTGCTTTAACCTCTGTGCCTTAATGCTCAAGAGTCTCTTTACAAAGTTCTGAGTTTCTAGACAGATGCTGCAGACAGCTTGTGGAACTACAGCTTTTCTTAAGAGAAGGAATACTGACACTTGATTACTAATAGGATAGTTATGGCTGTAGTTTAAAAGGAAATTTAATGTATTTCAAAAAGAATCCAATGCCAAAGAGGCTGCAATTTGCACCTCAACAGGAATCTTCGGTGTTGAGCAGTCTAAGGCACGCACAGCATGTGTGTGTTGTGCGTATATAAGGCTACGTTTAACATGTGACAACTTCCATCATTAGTTACTTTTTCACAAAGAAAAATCGTGGCACTACATTTTCTGTGAGCCAACAGCTGGCGTCGTGGGTAAATAACCGTCATGCAAGTGACTTACAGGCACAAAAAGAACCGACACAGCAGAGGAAAGTGCATGCATTTACGTACACATGTAATTTTTTTTCCCTTTTAGAACAAATGGTGAGGCTGCAGGACTGTGAAACCCTGAGGTAACCACAAACTGTCTTCTTCCATGGCAGGAAACCAAATCATGACTCACAGGAATACAGTGGCTCTCTTTACAATTGACTGAGAGGACGCGTTGGGCCAAATGTCTCCCTTCAGGTCGGCTGCCAACTCATTCTGCAGAAATCTTACAGTCATCTACTGTAATTTATCCAAATGTGTTCTTACACATAAACACCTAAAGCAGATGACTTCTTTCTGCTGATGATGCGATTTGTTTCACTGGGAATTTTCACTCGTTCCCCTCAGCCTGGCAGATCACAATGGAACGGGAGTCTTGCAAGGACCCAAACACAGAATCTTAAGGCACACTTTGGTTTGACCACCTGGGAATCACAGTCCTGCAGCCAAACCCCGTCGATCACGGGGACATTCCCTGTGCCACTCGACCTTCCTCATCAGGCACTTTTAAAACTCGCAGAACTAGAAGCACCACCTGCTGGATGAGGTAGGTCAAGAGGTCTTGGGTAGCTTGCCCCTCAGTTTTGGGATGAATGAAAACGTCCCTGCTGGAGTATTTTTCTTTTCTTTAGATGTAGGGTTGGTTAATGGCGGGGGCACTTGTGGGAGGACGGAGGCGTGGCTGGTGGAGAAACGCCTCAGTTGACTGGAGCGGACCGGATCGTTACGCTTCCGTCCTCCATCCCGAAGTACGCTCGTTCAGCCATGCTTACAAAGAGCCCGGTCTCCACCACACCTAAACACGCCATAGAAGCCAAAGCAGTTAATTCTACTGTTGCAATTATTATCAGGGAAAAATAAATAAATAAATAAAAGTCCTGAACATGTCATGTAACTCAACACTACCAACATTTCCACAAAAACAAAAGCTCCTCACCTGGAATCATCTTGATCGCAGTGTTGACTTCCTTCCAGTTCTGAGCATGCTCGAACTTCCAATCCAGGATGAAGTTGCTGTTGTCGGTGACGACGGGACCCTGGGAGCCAAAAACAATAAATAAATAAATCACACAGTTTGGATCGCAGTGGACTCCTTGGCTCGGGTCCATAAGAGCAGCGCGCCGGCAGGTGACAGCGCTGAATTTGATGGGGCCGTTTACGAGCATTTACGAGACGGCTTGGCAGCTTTTAAAATGCCACACAAACCTTCAGACGAACGACCGGGTCGGTAATCAGCCTAATTTTAGTAGTTTGAGCTCCCACAAGCAGAGAGCCATGCCATCGAGTCCCTTTTTCATGTTTATTTTAACGTTGTGACAAGGCTTGTTCCGATCCGATATTTGGATCGGATTGGCCGCCGATATTTGTAATAATGCGTATGAGAAAATGCCGATCCAGACTCCAGATCCAGTTTTTTTTTCCAAGTCCGATCCCCCACGAGCATTAGCATCTCCTAACCCACAGGTCTGTGTCCTAACCATTAAGTTGTTTTAAGAGTAAATCCCTGTTCAACATGAGTCTGACAACTAAATAAGTAGGCTAAATAACTTTAAACTTTAATACATGCTCTGATAGGCCGGGATCGTGCAAAAAACTCGATAGGGACATCCCTTGTCGTGACCCTCCGACTGCATTTCAGAAGTTCCCAACAGCATTTCTGAACACCTCTCTAGAAGTGCACTGATGTTGTTATACACATTCTTTCAGCCCAGGAGCATCTGGGGGCTAAGACACTGCAGCTCACCGCTTAGGCTGGTTGAACTTTGGGTGAGGAGTGGAAGTGGCTTTGTTTTAGCTGCTTGTTTAGAGTCTCATAACCCAACCCACAGGGGGGCTGTGATGCACATCACCTGGGCCGGACTAAGAGCTTTTGTTGTTAGAATCAGCGACAAGGGGCTCCAAGATCCAGCGTTTCGGAGAATTAACGCTGGAGCCGATTCGGAGGAACCTCAACAGCCGCAGTGTTGTGGGTTTACCGGGCATGCAAACATTAGTGCATCAAGCATTTCCAGGCTTTTTTTTTTTTCCCCAGCAGAAATAAATAAATAACATTCCAGAATCAATCATGTTGTTCTCTTCAAAGAACTGAGTAGGAGGTCAATCGTTACAGTTCCACTCCGCAGACTTTTAATGAGCTGGCGACTGTGTGTTTGTGTGTCTGTGTGCAGGTGTTGTTAAGCCCAGACATATCAGCAGTGAAGGCTGTTGCCCTGTTTCCACTTCCACCATATTTTGCTATTCAGTAGATGCAAACCTCATAAACTTTTAAAATAGAAATTCTGGATGAAACCCCAAAGCACCGCAAAGCAACGCTGGAAGGTGAAGAAAAAAAAAGAAAAGCAACTGCTCCTGTGACAGTCATGTGAGGGGAATCAGAAACTCACTGCTTTACTGACAGCCATCCTTAAGATGGCTTCCCCTCCAAAGCGCCTGGCTATCATCCTGGAGACGGGGACATAAGCCATGGGGATAACTTCAATAGGAACTCCCTTCTTCCACTGCTGGCCCAGGGCCTTAGAATCCTTTCTGTGGGGCGAAAGGGGGGAGGGGGTTAACTTTGATCACAACTTTGATCCCTTCGGCAAACCGGTTGACACACACACACCTGAAGTCGGCAATGACGACGAAATGCTTGGCACAGCCGGCGACGATCTTCTCTTGGGTCAGGCAGCCGCTGGAAAACGAAGACGCCGTGAGCGGGGAGAGGGCCGCTGGGCCGCGCCCGCCGACCGCTACTCACCCTCCACCTTTAATGAGCGTGAGCTCCGAGTCCACCTCGTCCGCTCCATCGATGGCCACGTCCAGCTGAGCACACACACACACAGACAGTGAGCCACGTGAAGTCAGCAACCAGCTTTGCCCCTCGTTGGCGGCCTGCAGCCATCGGGCTCGGCACCGCTCGCCGGGTTGAATCCGACTGGGTTCTAGCGGCAACCCGCGACGGCCCTTATGGCGCCCAGCTGTAACCGGCTCATCGTACCTCTGGGTGCCTGTCCAGGTCCGACAGCGTGAGACCGTGCTGCAGGATCAGCTGTCGAGCCTGTAGCAGGGAGGGCACAGAGACAGGGAGGGAGAGGAGGTTTAAGAGGGTTCTATAGGGGTTTTATTCTCATATCGAGCAGCTTTTACAACCGCTCCATTAAACACAGCCCATTTATTTTGGCTGTTCATAAGCCAGACTAATTTAGTAGAGTAAATCGTTTTGTTAGGAGGTCACAATTCAACAAATAAAACCTGGAATAGCCCCAGGAAAGTAAATATCTAAAAAGTTAATCATCAGTATATCTGCAACACATACTATATTTTAGCTAGCACCATATAGTTTTCACAGACATCAGGGAAAAGGGGTTACAGGTAAAGTGATATGAAAAGTCGCTCACTAAAGTGCACCACAAAGCTATAAAGAAGGACAGTGGTGGTTGCTCTGTTTGGAGTGAAGCTTAGAACCTCTTTGGCATCTCAAACCAACCTGGAAGGAGGTGGGCACGCACACGATGTTGAGCTTTTCTTGGCGCACCCTCTCCGCTGCAACAATCCACACACAGACGCAAACAGTTAACAGCAACAGGGGTCACAAGTGCAATTTCTTCATTCAGGAGCTCGCCTGTGTTGTAATCACAGGAGAATGTGCACTGATGGCAGTTTCTTAGCCGATTATCACAGTCACCTTTACCCAAATCTATGCAGCCATGCATGAGGACATCAAAGAGACAAACTAAAGATAAACTAAAGTAATACGCTAAGGGAAAGGCAGCCAGCTTCTCTCTCCTTCCTGTGATGACACCTGTGTCAAAATACACCACTGCGTTAAAGCCTTGCTGGCCGTCACTTTGGTTAGGTTGTTCCTCTAAGTCTCCTTAAGCAGCAACGGTCTTTAAACAGGTTTTTTTCACAGCGGTGGCTGGCTTTTTAATCAGGGCCATGTACCTTTTCTTTTATCAAGCCACACAAAACAGCTTCAGAAACCATTTCAATCACTGTACTGCATATTTTAGGGCCTTTATTCGCATTGTGCTGAGGTTAACATGTTGAATGGATCCATTTAAAACAGAATCAGGTTCTGAAGCAGGGGAACATCTAAAACCTAAAGGGCAGCAGCCCAAAGACAATAGACACCTATTCCAAATGTTCTTCTCAAAAATATGCAAATGAATAAGGGGCAGCAGAACACAGTTAAGCTTCAATTCCCGTTCTTGATCATACCAAACATTACTTACCTAATCTGTCCACAGCATATACTATAGTTGACCCGCTGCCCACTCCAATAACCTGGTTGTTCTGCAAGAGAAGGAAATGTAGACTCACAATGGTGTTTTCAAATCACAAATAATGGTTCCTGGATGATTTCCGGATTCTTAAATATTAAATTACTTATGCTTGTCCCTCTGTTAGAACCATGCTTGAACCGGACACATTGCTGTTGTATATTTAGCTCTAAAGCTGAACAAAGTTAGCTCGTTACCTGGGTGAAACATGACACGGAGCTAAGTGGCTTTAAATTGGCTCGTTAGATAACTTTAGTCCAGTAAGGTGTCATGCTAAGTGCAGGACTGCTCTTTAAGCTAACTTAGCTAGCGAGCTGCTCCTGGGCGGTGCGATATATTACTGCTTAAAAGCTGTTTGGAAAGCGGTAAACGTAACTGCACGTTAGCTGACCGCGAAACTGGGTCCACAGTACCTGGACGTGGTTGTCCACGGCGGCGAAAGCGGCCAGTTTCTTCGCCTCTTCTGCCATGTTCGCCACAGTCTGACTGAACCGACGCACGTGCTGCTTCTGGCTGGTAAAAGCGACCAGCCTCCAGGAGGATGGAGCGGAGAGAGATCCAGCTGCGAGTTTACGGAGACAAACCCACCTCTGGAGTCTCATGACCCGGACGAGCCCGGCCCCCTAAGACCAAACGGTCAAACAGGGGCCCGCGGACAGTTGGGGCTGGGCTAAACGGTGGCTTATGTCGCGCTAAAAGCTTCGCGACGTCTTTGTTATTGATTGTTTTAGGGCAACACCTGACACGCTCTGTCATGTTTTGTTGTGGGACTGGGAGTAATTAGAGACCAGCGGTTATGTGCGCAGGCGCAGCGCAGGCGCGGGTCAGCGCATGCGCAGCGCGGACTTTTGGGCGTCTGGAGGCTTCCCTTTTCAGTGTTCAAAATACACATTTAAGGGTTTAATTCCCCTACAAACTTACAGGACGGCCATTTGAACAGGAATTCTTCTATATGGTGACACTTCTTCTGTTTAAGGTTGACATTAAGCTCATTAGGGAGGCGTTAAAATGTTCCACAATGTAATTGAATTGAATGGACGGAATTGATCTGTGACCCCAAATCTTACAGTATTCTTTTTGAGAACTCACATGGCAGCTATTAGATCTGCAACTTAATACATAGACATGGTACTTCCCCCCTTTTTTAATCCTTAATAATGAATTAGCATTTCAGTATGATGGATGTGAATGACTACAAAGATCTGAAGATATGTGATAGAGGGCTTTAAAGAAATACATTTCTCAGAAATAACAGGAAATTCTGGGGTGCCAAATTCATAGATTGGGTATGTTCTTCAAGAAGTGCCAGACAGCTAAGCAAAAACATAGGGCCTGAAGGCCATTGAAAGCGGATGATGGCAAAGCTGTTTAAGGAATAGAAACATATATTGGACGGAAAAGTGTTCTCTCTGCCTAGATTCAGTCCAATGCTGTGGGTCCAGTAGAGCTGGAAATTACATGTATTTTGTTAAAATAGGGCAATGTTAAGTCAAGATGTGAACATTTATTTTGATATTCTGCTTTAAGTCGGACATATTTGACAATAAAGAGATGAAGGCCAACTTTTACATCACTACTACTTTTATTTGGCAAACAGCTTGAGATAGTTTCTCTTTTCAGTGTACAGTATATATATATTTCTTCATATATATATATATATATATACCATAGTAAACCAACACATTCTGTTTGATAACCATTTTTCCCCAGTTTGTTCATATTACAGCTTACAAATATAGCTGATCTTTTTGACAAAATTACAGATTCTGTTTGACACCTAAAATTAGTATGCTATATAAAAATCCACACGTCATACATTCATGATTAGAAAAAGGAGGTTATATGAAACCGGGAAAAGAAACAAACTAAACAAAACATCACAGTACGCAATTCCAAAACGAGAAGGTGGGAGTGGGTTGGGGGGTTGTGTTGTTGAGGGGTCAATGTTTTCACAGGGGAGTATGTCTGCGAGGCTAAATCCAATATCAAGTCCTCTGAGAGAAGTTTGCTGCTATTCCAAAATCATCAGTACAGTGAGGATATCAAGGAACAACAACAGTACTGTCACATAAGAAGAAGAAGAAGAATTATTAAGTCTCTGCTCTCAGTCCAAAGTTGGAAACTAATGTCTTGCCATGGATTATAATGGATGTTTGATAAAAACTAAATTTTTGCATTGCAAACTGTACATATTACTTTATACCTTACAATCTCCTCTTTCACCAGTGCTGTCTTAAGGCTTAGTCCAAGGATTATGCAAATGCTTCTGAGCTTTCCTTTCATGCCTCGATATCTCAGCATGAGACATCTGCTTAAATTGGACATCAATCTCACATCTGTAGGACAAAGTTGAACAGAACTGCATGAGGGAGCTGCCATTCGAATACTGGGAGAAGCAACGAAAGCGTTGTAAATTTGGGCACTGCTAATGCCTCTTTTACAGGCAAAACTTTTCTCTTTTTTATCTCCTTGATGTTTGGAATAACTGAATCAGCAGAGCTGATCTTTTTTTGTTTTTTTTTTAGTTTCCATGAGAATGGACTGAAAAGTTGCTGTGTGAAAAATACAGCTGACCTGTCATTGCTTCAGCGATGGGTCCGCCGTCATTTGGGGGAACCCGAATCTCAAGAGTTCTGTTTTATACACAGTATTGCTGAATATTGAGCATTGCATTCATTTTAATGAGAAGTTTCTGTTTGACTTGCTACTTTTTTTTCGTGTGTGTGTGTGTGTGTGTGTGTAGGATACATGTCTACTGGCATCACATTGTATCAAAAACCCAGATGAGACATGCTTTAAGCAAACCAATGCTTAGGATTTTTTCTCTTTTACTATAGATAATAAGATAAATCTCCCCATTCTCCTGCATTATTACATGACAATATTTGCAAGCACTGATCTAATCATAACATCTAAATAGAAAACAAGACTGAGTTATTCAGAATCTCATCGTTGAAAACTTCAAATGAAATCTGTTTCTTTTTTCTTGGTATTTTTTTTCTTTCCCCCCCCAACAAAGATGCATTTTGTTGAATCCAGATCTACTTAATGGTTGTATCCTTCCATCTCTTCACCTTTAACCTGGCGTATGTCATTACTGGCCAATGCACCAGAACTGTGTTGGACTACAACATGGAGTTGGACGGGACTTTGATATGTAAACACAGCAGCAAAGCAACATGTAAGACAAACACTGCAAAGTACAAGAGGGTGGAATGTAAAAGGAGTAAAGACAGAATTACACATTTCTCTGCAGTTAAGGGGAAAACACACACTTCCTTTTAAAATAATCAGTTATTCTTATAAATAAATATTCTATTTTGACTTTAACAATAATATTTTTGTATATTGCCATATTCATAAGATAAAGATATTACTATATGTTTTTGGTTTGTGCTGTCTTTCTAAACAATTAAAATTTTACCCGCGGAATGTATTAATTTATTTATTTATTTTAGTCATCTGAAGACTTATTCCACCTCTAAAAATAAACTTTCTAAAACGCTGGCGGAAAGCTAGATGAAGGATATATCAGCACTGTGTCTATGACACACTCAAACACACGTACACGCACGTACACACACGCACATATATATAATTTTCCTCTCTTTGTTGAATATATTTTTTTTGGAATGGTTTAGAAACTAAAGGTTGTAACACTGCACAGTGATAGATGTACAAAAGGCTTACTTTACAGTGGCCAAAATGCAGTGCTTTGAAACTGACCCACTCAAGGGTATTTAAGTACTTAGAAACACAGTGTAAGTATGTCAAACTTACCCATAGAGCTGTGTAAAAACACAATGTGAGTGCAAAGTGTCAGAAAACGATAAAGTTCATACTTACATTGTGCCATTACACCTTCCTTAGTACAATGCATTGTACACTGGCAGCATTTTTTTGTATTACTTAGAGCATCTGCGAGTACTTTTAAGTACACACATGTAGACACTGCAGTAAGGATATTGTAAAGTGTCACCATAAGAAGTGAAGGTGTGAGAGGAGAACATGGAGGTATATGGCACTGAACAATCTGACAGGGTCAAACGGAGGTGAAACAGGGAGTTCTGGACGGTCCTGTTTTTTTTTCTTTTTCCCCATGTAGAACTTTGCCACTGAGAGATGTTATCAGTTCACGTTTGAGAAAACATTTACCATCTCTGTTCCTCACACGACTTCCCACGTTTCCAGTGCTTCACCTGTAAGAATGTACTTATCAGATACAAAAATCAAAACAGTCAGTATTTCTCCTTTTTGCGTCCATATCTTTTTGCATTGAAAAATATGTTTTAGTTAATCTTCCTCTGTCTTGTTTTTTTTTCTTTCTTTATTTGATTCCAGACATTTTTTTTTTCATTTTTTTGCAAGGATCCAGAACTTGAGTCTTTCTGTAGCTACATGTGTTGGGCATCCATTATGTCCAAGTATTTGGCCTCGATGATATGAGGAAGCACGTTGTTCCTATACACAGAGCAGACAGAATTTATGTCAGATCTTACATGTTAAACAGAAAAGTGAGGGGGGGGGTGACACAAAAACAAGTAAAAGGGATTGAACATTTAAACTGGTCCGTTAAGTTTCTGTGGGAGTGTGATAGCTGAAAAGAGCTAGTTTGACGAGTAGTGCCTGCTGAGAGGCCAGAGATAGCAGCAAGCTTATCATAGAGACAGATAACCTCCCGAATATTTGGTAGAGTTCAAACTATGATGTTGAAAAGCACACTGCTTACTTTAAGAAACATTAGTATCATCATTAGCTTTACTGAATATTCAGGGTGCATGTAGCATTGTCAACTTTTGTGATGTGTATGTTTGATGTGTTACTGCAAATGTTTCAAATTAAGTACTTATTCCATTAGCTAATTGTACAAAAAACATTTTTTTTCACCTGGGTTGTTACTCAATGCTTAATGCTTCCTGTTCAGATATGTTAACCTTGACGCGAGTCTCGATTTCTCTGGTTTAAGGCTCATGATGAAATTAATATTCTAGGACAAAGAAACCACGGTCCTACCTGATTGGGATTAGGAGGATCATAACCAGAGGGAAGATCATTTTCATGTATGGTATCGGATACATGCCAAATGTGCACAGCACCAGCAGCTGCATCATCTGCAGGAAGGTGAAGTAGTGGATCTTCCTCTGGGGCACTTTTCGAATGTAGTGGGTGGGTGGGTAGGAGGTCTGCAGGAGGTGAGAGGATCAAGACAGATTAAAATACAATCTCCTCGGAGGCAATTTTTCCTCTCCTGCAGCCTTAAAGCAAGGACTAGAGAAAAGGACGCATGGAAGACCCACACACCTCTAAGGACTGCACTGTTAATTTCAGATGTAACGAACAGTAACTTTCCACTGCATGAGCCCTTTAACACATTCCTTTTGAATATTTTCAAAAGGAGCTAAATAAAACATTGCTGCAGTGACTGGTTACTACCTGCAGTCGTTTTGGAGGCTGTGAACTAACTCATCGGGTCTGAAGATCTTTGATTGCTCTGCAGCCCACATAAATGAGTTCAGTGTAAAGTTTAAATATCCAATAGAGATTCAGATATCAAACAAACTTTATAAATTCCATGTTTCCTTGAAATTAAACATTTAGAGTTCAGTCTTAAGGTTAATTGTTTTCCACCTTTAAAGTAAAACTAATGTTTTATGATGAAACTGTATCTGGCATTTCCTTCCAAATAGATTCAGAAAGAAACATTAACACCATTTATTGAAATGGAACCCAGTCAGAGGGAGTGCAAGTTGCTGTGCGTTTCGCTGAGGGATTTGCATTAAGATGAGGAGAAGAACATTCCTCTTCACACCATTTGGGGGCGCCAGTGTGTTTACTTGGTCAAGCAGCAAGTCTCGCTCTGTCTCCTCACAGGGGGAAGGTTAAATCGGACACTCAGGATAACAGACACGACAAGGGAGATTCCCGTTTGCTCATGTTTTGGCAGAAAAAGTGTTCAGTCAATATTTCATAATTTCATCAGACTGAAGGCAGTCAGAGGTTCAACAGCTGCTTTCTGCATTCTTTCATGGCTGACACCCATCATAAGAGTGGTGGTGTTATCCTTTTTTTTTAAATAACAAAAAAATCAGACTTTCTTTTATAAAGAAAAATCAATGTGTTTTTTTATACCAATTGAGAAAAACATAAAACTATGATTGATATTTGATTTCATGACTCCTGGGGTTTGGCCATATGGTCACATACACACACACACACACACGTATGTTAGCACTGTGCCACCCCACACGGTTTCTCACCTGCTCCTTAAGGAGCAGTGCCATGCGGTCACACATCTGGTTTCCATCGATGGAGGTGAGGGCGATGTAGAGGAAGAGGCCGTACAGGACAGGCTTGGGGATCCATTGCAGGGGGACCGGCAGCAGCAGTACGGATACGCCGATGAAGATGTTGGCAGCCAGAGACGTCAGGCGCGTCTCCTTTACCTGGACAATGCTGCGGAGACACATACAGCACACCAAATAGGAGACGCACAAATGAATGGTTGCTGGCAACCTCGCAGTAGTTTCTTACAATGCAGCAGACAACATAATCGGTGGGATTTTCTTATCACCACAGTGGCACATTTTCCGTCAGAAAAATCGAAAATTTCTAAACTGCTATTTCTTTGTGTTATTCCTTATTTCTTCTTTTTAAATTGAAATGTAGGTTGCACAGTTCAGAACTAATTTAATACTTTGGAATTACCTGTAGCCTACTTGTGGAAAAATTTGTCTCCATCCTCTCTTATGAACAATCACAATCTCTTTAATATATCAGCGCATCAATCTTTGTGGCAGTGGTCGTGCCCAAAATGAAAAAATTCATTAAAATCTGATGACAAGATGCATATACACTCATATTTTCTGAAAGTAAAACTTGAAAACTATTGACTCCTCTTTATATTTTTCTCACTCTTTTAACGCTCGCTGCTTTTGTTTTTGATTTAACTGACAGATTGGATCGTTGATACTATCAAGAATATAAATCCAAAACTAAATGTCTTTATCAGATCTCTGGCTCTAACACAAATTGTCCACTAAGATCCATTTACCAGGCTTGACTAATTCAGTAATCCAGACACCAAAACTATCATTTATCATGTCTGTGGCTAAAGCTCTTCCAACCTCAGAGATAGTGGTTGGTTATATGATGATTGTGCAATCAAGAAAGAGCGGGAATACAGTAGCCTGCGGCTCGATACTACGGTCGGAGCATGCTCCGGAGACGACCTTTAATTGAGCATCTGATTAGCGTTGGGGGGGTGCGAAGGCGGATCGGCAACTCACGTCTCGTAGAGGTGCCCCCCCTCCACGCGTTGCTCCACAAAAGCCAGCTGGCGCACGTGGAGGGTGGAGTGGGGGAAGGCGGCATGCATCCAGGGCAACCCCATCACAGACATCAGTATGTTAATGAGCCCCGAAAGCATCAGGTCCCAGTGATAGGCTGTACCTTTTAGCAACCTGAGGAGCAAAGCAACCGTTACACACCCAACACAGCACTGCACACAAGGACAAAAAGCATGCGCCGCAGGAAAAAGAGAGGCTCGCACACAGGGGAAAGAAAACACGCGACAGAAGTCCCAAACATGTGGAACTTTGTTTTCCTAAGGTCAGCGGCGGCCTGAATAAACACATTTACATTGTTCCCATTCAGAGAAGACACAAACGCGTTTCGAATTCTTTCATTTCCTCAAACAAAGAAAAGACTCATGAATAAGTGCGCACAGACATCAGGGATTGTATTGTAATTTTACATAAAAGCCACACTGTGACCTCTCTGAAGTCAAAGTTGTTGTTTTTTGTCTTTTTCTTAAATCCTGTTCATTGAGGATCACAGCAGTGTCTCTTCTGGGTTTTTTTTTCTGAGAAAGGAGGAGAGCCTTTTGGGGACACTCCAGCTCTCCTTTCCATGCGGCTTGACAAATGTCAGTGGCAGACATTCCGTTAAGAAATATGAACACACTGGATCACTAGCCACGCATCCTGCTGACATGCCCTTGAATGTAACATTGGCACAACTGGATACTGTAAATCAGACTGGAAAACAGCTCCAGGGACTGAGTAATAACTCTCAGTGAGTGAAAGACAGTCCTACAGGAAACGGGGCGTTTCTTTCATTTTCATCTCTTTCCCTACAGCCGATGTGAACCTAATTCTGCTAGTCAATTTTAGCTTGTTTATCTATATGGGTAGGGTTAGGGGCAGGTGTTTTAAATTAACATGATGATATCAGGACACCGGTATGGGCTGAAACATGTGAAACAGAATACACAGGACAAAATTTTAAAAAAGGACACAAATAGAAAAATTGTCTGAAGGATTTGGATTCGTTCACCTTCTCTTCCAAACAGACTAGAAAAACATCCAAGTCAAGGAAATCTAAGAAATCAGTGAAAATTCATGACTTGGGAGCTCAAAAGAACGAGAAATGATATATTCCTACCTGTTCTCTGGCGCGTTCGTCAGAGAGACCACGATGTTCTGGTCGATGAAGATGAGGAGAGCCAGGAGGAAGCCGAGTCCCATTGCGCTAAGAATGTTCAAGGCCGACAGGCGCTCGAACGGAGCCACGTTGAAGATGGGCCGGTTATGAACTTTGAACACAGGAACTGCTCCAAACAAAGAACACAAAATTAGTTAAATTCTTTCCGATGTGTAGTCTTCATGAACAAAGTGACTGTAACCCCCTCACAGATGTATTGATATTTAGTGATTTATTCCCTTAAGGAAAATAATAATAAAATGTGTACAATTTTTTAGCGTACAGTACTTCCATCTATTCTAATGCAATCATCACAAACACCGCATGTCTCTCATATCTTGTGGTGACTAAGTGATTGGACATTTTTTATACACCCAATTTAGCTTTGTATTCTTACAAAGGTTTCTAAATCAAGAGCTGTTGGATAATTTTAGGAAATGACAAAAACAGCAATGGATCTATTATTCTTCCACCTACTAAAGTAGAGGAACTGAAAATTGGCTGAAAACCCACCAGAGGTTTGGCCTCTACCCCTGGAAAGCAGCTGCTACCAAGGCAACAGCGAATTGGAGACTCAAAATTATGCCACACAAAAGGGGGTAAAAACAGAAAACCTTAGAGGTATTCTAGCCAGTGTGTTGATGAAAAAGATTTGAAAAAAACATAATAAGGGCAAACGTTAATTCTAGACTTTGGCACTAGCAAGGTAGCTTAGGAAATAAACAGGTTATAATGACTCTGCCTAACAGCAGGTTCAAACTGCATTGTACAGTGTCTCAAATGAAGGATAAGTAACATTAACGGTATGTTAATGAGAAAGACATTTTAAGGACACTAACAGCTCTTTAGCTTCTGTTCCTATAAACAGTTGTTGAAGTAAAGCTGCCCTTTATGTTTCATTAGCAAAATATTTAGGACTGAGTTCATTAAAACTGAGACTGAGAAATAAACATTTTGATTAAAAAAGACAATGATGAGCACTAACAGAGTATTCTACTTATCTCTTTTCTGATTGCCTGAAATGGTCAGTTAATAAGGGCCCAGTGGATAATGTGATAATTGCCAGCAGACTGCCTGACAGGGTTTAGTTCCTAAATACACCTGCCACTGTATCCTTGACCAAGACAATGAACCTTGTTTCCTTCAGATCGAAGCCAGCACCTTGCACAGCATTAGCATGCGTGTGTTCCAGTGTGTGCGCGTGCTGAGCATTTTGTTCAACAAAACGACCTGTGAGTGCTCAGGATTTGACTCCGGTCTTGTTTGTTAAATATAGCCGCTTTATTTTGAGATTAAAGGTGTCTTTAATTAGTGTTTATAACACTGCCTCATAAAGTTCAATGTCATAAAATATGAGCAGCTAGAGTTATCCCTTAAAACTGTTTTTCAGAGCTCACAAAAAGGAGGATCTTTCATCTTGAACAATTTGTCCTGTCACATCGCCAACCACTAAAACTGCACACAGAGGTTAAGACAGCTCCCCCCTCCTCTGACGGAGCTTAAACATATGCGGATATGTCCGTTTTCCCTCAATTAATTTAAGGCTGAGCCAAAATACCACACCGGTTGCGGTCTGGCAAATCAACATGCAACATTTTTTTGAGGGGTTGGGAGAAGGGGGGGGGGGGATCAAGGAAGCAATGTCCTCTGGGCAAAAAAGAGAGAGTGGCCATGTGACTTGTTAACAGCACAACCTTCAAAGACCAGCACCTGTGATGGTTTGAGGGGGCATAAACGCACATAACATGGCCAACCTGCATATCAGTGTGGGAACTACAACAAAAGCCAAAACAGGCTTGGGAGCAACATATGCCGTCAGCCAGATGGTATTTTATAGGAAAAACATGTTTTATCATCCTATCTAAGAATGGGATTAACCTTTGGCTTTGAAACGTTTTAAAGAAGAGATAGTTTTAACATGCATCTCGTCATGGCAGTGAATATACTATCTCAATAAATTCCCTATTTTGAATTTTGAGGGGTTGATAACATCTGAAAATCCCTGAATTCTGCTTTTCATCAGTTAAAAGGCTTTGCAGTTTAAAAAAAAAAAGGATTTAAGACACATTGTCATTAGACTTGAATTAAATTCTCCTGTTAATTGTCCAGCAAGGTAACAAAAGATACTAACGCTCAATGTCACTGAAAATGTAGGAGCCGATGAAGGAGAACATGAGCACCGAGATCGGAAGCGCACAGTCCGACAGCACCTCTCTGACTTTGGCATGCAGGAACGGACTAAGAGACGGAGAAAGAGGAGAAAAGAAGGGAGTGAGCATGGGGAGACAGAAATAATGGTGAAATACAATTACTGTGGACAAGACAAGGACAATGGCTGCAATCCTGACACTGCTTAAGTACCTTACTCCGCCTCTTGCTTACACAATTGAATCCAGCTTTGAGGTTGATTTGATTACTGAGAGCAATCAGAAGTAGAATAGTAATGCTTATTAAATCACATGCTGGAACAGAAGCTTTGACAGAAAAGTGAGCTTTGCCAGAGCTGTTTGGAAAGTTGCTCCGTCACTCCTCACTTTCCTGAGACTCGGGGCCCTACTCAGCAGTATTCAGCCTAGCAGGCAGAACTCCCATCCAAACCAAATTGAAACTTTTCTCCAGTGTTTTATCTCTCCGTTGCTGCAGCACTGCGGTGCCACACATACCTCCTTTTGAACTGGTAGAGGGTATAGCCCATCCACAATGTCCCGAGCATCAGCAGGAGGCAGAGGAGAGGCCTCTCTCGGGTGCACTGGATGAGAGAATCGGGGAGGGCATTAAGCGCTAGACTGGCCACCACCTCACTCCTGTTTCCACTGAGAAGGGCTCCACCCCGAGGAAAGTCCTCCATGCTTCTGTTTTCCAGCGTTGGAGAATGGTAATACCTGTGAAAGACTACAAAAATGTCCAAAACGTTAATCTGGATCAGATTTTACGCTGAAAATCTGAAGCAAGTGCACTTATGTTGACATCAAAATCCATGTGGACGTTATAGACAAAAATGTATTGATTCTAGTTACAAGACGAGGTGGGCAGAGGGACAGTTTTGCATTTTATCTCCAAAAAATCTGGTTTGAGAAACATAAAAGAACCAGACCCAGTCTAAAATCAGATGACAATGCATTTGTGATTTCCGCTTGACTATACATATGATGTTAGGAACCCTGGAAATTTAAAGTAAGGGCCTTCAATCCAATTCCTGAGGTAATAAAAAATGAAAGGCTTTGTTAGCACAAATTTTTTACAGGTGCCTCCCATGGTCTGGCCATTTTTTCACTTGAATTCCAGTCTCAAATACTCTCTGTCTGAGGGATGACTGAGCGTTCAGCAGTGATCGAAAAACTACCCAAACCTATCCTAAGCTGTCAGCGTCAAGGTCTGCGGTTTTAGATGAATTCTTTGTATCTTTTTTTGTGTTCTGAGTTTGCTTTTGTTGCATCTGTTTTCTTCCAACTGGTTTCCTCAGTTGGTTTCCATTCCGCATTTTTAATAAGCTCAACTGTTTCTCTTCCCAGTATTGACACTCCTTGGCTTTCATTGCTCCATTGGTTTTCCACGTATGAGCCATTCTCAATTTAAATTAGTCTTACTGAGGTGTTTCCTCTTTTTTCACTGCTTTTGAACCATGTTTCAATTTGGGGTTGTAATTGCCTCTTCCTAAAAGATTAAGGGCATCTTTAATAAAACTATATGCACACAGATCTCTATTAAGGTCTATACAATAAGGACAGTTAAGTTACAGCAACGGCAGGATGTGAATGTGTATAACCATTTGAAAATGCATCGATTAGTATCACTGGAAAATATTTTGGAAGAAAAAAGTCGACCAAAAGGCACAGGTTAATGTTATGGTAATGGGATATTTTTCACATTGCCAGAGAAAATTGAACTACTGCACAAGTAATCTGCAAAACAGGACAAACTTGCTTTAAAAACATTCTGCTGCTATCAGCTTAGTTAAGATAAATGATCATGTGTATTCAAGGTAAACTAAAATTGGGTGCAGTAAATGCTAGGCTGATGATATGGAGGCAGGCTTGGCTTGAAAAGTGGATAGCAGGTTTAGACTATAGACTTTTAATACAAGCAGCCCGGGTAACAAAGGACTCAACATGATAATTCCATCTCCCCACTGCTATTCTCAATCTAAGCCAGGGAAAAAATGTCACATTTGTATAAATGCATTGCTGGGGAAACCTGGTAAAGGGACTGCTCACACTATATTATATAACTAATCAGTCATTAGGCTTGTGGTTGTCCATGATCCTTTTTTCCTCTCGCTCTTTTGTCACGGAATTAACTATAGCTCATTAATCATGGATACTTAGAAATTATATCTGGCATCAGACTAACACGAAGAGAGTACAGTCTGCTCATTATTAAGGACGGAAGTTTTAGAGATGCTCTATTTTATGACTGCAAAGCAGGAAAAATATCACTTGCAAAAGTACTTGGCAGATTTTAATTAAAATGACAAAATGATTAGTTGTAGAGATCTTGTGACTCTTTGCCAACAAATTATTTTGCAGGTCGGGACAGCTATAATTAACAGGTGGATTCAGTTAAATGATAAATTAAAGAAAATGTTTGTTTTTTAAAAAGCCTATAATGCAGTTTGTTGTACTTGTTTCTTGGGCAATTGGAATGGAATTAGACTTGCTGGATGAAACGGGAAGCGAGTGTGTGTGTGTGTGGCATTCTGATGAGTCAGAGCTGGGTAAAAGTGTTTGATTTTCAGTCAAAATATTGCAGCGGGAAGCTTCTGTTAAGGGAGCTGGAGGCTTTATCCGAGCCACAAATTAAGCTGTAGGGAAAAAGGAAAAGAGGCGTTTTTTATATATTTTTTTCATTTGTGTCTTGTACTTACTTTTCACAGTCCCTTTTACAGCATCAATCACAAAAGCAATGGATATAAACAGGGCGATGACCTCCTCTGTTGACCTAGAAACAGAAAGCAGAAGTGACAATCAAACTGCTGCATCAATTAAATAAAAACTATTTTGTAAAAAAGCTTAAAATATTTGAGGCAAGGGATTTTTTTTAAATGGCATGTTATAATATTACAAAATAGAGTTATACAAAAATATAAAGACATAAATATATCTATCTTTATTGCAGCTTTTACAACGGAGATCAGACACTCAAACAGTGTATTTGGAACACGGGAGTTATTCTACTCTACTTCCTTCTCTATCCCTGAATGCTCCAACTCCATGCTGACACTTTAAAGATAACAAGCGTGCACTCGTAGGTGGCCAAAGTTATCTCTGTGAATATCTGCAACCATTCCTAATCAGTGCATTAGTTACAAATAGGGGTTTGCTCTGGGGTTCCACGTCACAAACGTGGGTTATTAACATTCATACGTTCAGGCAGATATAGAATTAAATCCCTAACAAGTCAAATAGTTGGCACTATTCATTTATCTGTTTACTTTTAAGGAATGGCACTTTAGTCGATATTAAATTCAGTTGTTTGCTTCATTAATGTCCAAAGGGCTCTCAGTCATGCTGAGGCAAAAGTTTTTCTAATTTTTTCAAATTTGCATTTTCAACTGTTTCAACTTGATTGCATCAACTTGAGCCTATGACTTAACTGGAGTCCAACTGTTCCCAGTGGAAGAGATCGGGCCTTTGTAAGTACAGCACACCCCGGTTTGTGTCACAGACGAAAGCCTTCAGCCGTTAGGAAATAATGGGAGAGCCAACATAAGGGTTTCCTTAATAAATCCTTCAAGTGTTTTACTTTCAAGAAATATAAACAACACTTTCGTAATAAAATGTAGCTATAAAATAATAATGAACTAGAATTAAAGTTGAAAATACCTACAAAACATTCAATTCAAATTAAAAAATACTTTATTTATCCCAGAGGGAAATTAATATAGTAAATGGTCTACTTTATTACGATTATTATTATCATTATTATTATCAAATATCATTATCATAATTCGATTTAAAGACTAAGTCTAATTCTAAGTCTTCTTTAAATTATCAGCAGGTTGTACTATTTACAGTTCAGTAAAGAGTAGAATTATTTGAAAGCCCAGGATATAACTTTCATTTACCAAAATTAACAAATAAATCTATACATTTTATTAAATACGATGGGATGTATGATCTCATTTTACGCACTCCATATAGAACCAGAAGGCAACATCTGCAACAGCAAAAAACTGAACAGACACACAACTGATGAACTGATTTGAACAATTCTAACATGTTGAAGGGGAAAACACTCAAATGCAATAAAAAAACACCTTTTAAAGAGCTTCATCAGCAGGCTGACATTGAAGATCCCCCCCAGTATGAGGAAGAGGCAGTTCCACAAACCAATGCAGGCATAGAAAGCTGGGAAATCCAAGTTGTAGTCATCACAGATTCCTCTGATCACTGTGATCCAGGTTGCAGGAATAAAAATGGCAGATGCAGAATATAAATACAGAGAAAATCCTTTTAAAGTCACAAATATGTAATTAGTCACGTCTGGGTGCTTTTAGAAATGGTTCTGTCAGTTTTGTGAAAGCATGAGGGAGAGTTTAGATAGAGGCTTCCCTATCAGCTTTGTGGGGTTTGATCTTATATACAAACCAACACAAAGAAAGAAAAAAAATACATTTTATTCTGACATGCAAAGGCCAAAGGAACGAGTTTTTTTAAACAAAACAATTAAGCTGTAATCTCGGTTTCTTTGCAGGTGAGTTATACATTTACAATTATGCCATTGTTCTATCCTTAAATGATCTACAATTATCCCCATGAGAATGTGCTTAGTACATTTCTAACCTATTTCCCTCACAGATCATCACACCACAAACCCTGCCAACAACTTTGTTATTAAAGCTACGACTTGGCATCAAAGTCACCGCTTTCCTTCATCGCTGCATGATCCTGCAGCTCCCAGCCTTCAATTACATTTAAATTCCAAATAACAAAACCCTGCTCTCAGGCAAGAAATACGACAGCTTATGTGCTGTGTCTCTCAGAACAAAAAAAAGAAAAAAAAAAAAAGCTTACATGTCACTGTGGGCAGTGAGCAGGCCACCTGACCTGTGGGCTCCTTAAAAAAAACGTTACATAAGCAGCAGTGTCTTAAAAAAGCAAAAAGCAGGTCATCCACTTTTTTGCTTAACTGAATTTGGAGTTCTTACTTTCTTTTTTTTTTAACATCCAACTCCTTTTTTTGATAAAAAAGGAACAGCAGAGGAAGATGTGAGTTTTTAGCTCCCGCCCCACACCAGTGGATGTTTACTTCTAATTTTTAACATAATCTTCTTTTTACCCCAACCCAACCCTAAAACTCCAATTCAAATTGGCTGTCAGTGGAACTTTGAAATATAAGTGCATTGTGTTCGAGATGAGTTGAATGAAAGAGGGAAAGCCTACCACTGATGAAGATGGCGAGCGGAGCTGTGGTGAGAGGAATTACTAAAGGAGAGCCGGCGAACAATGAGTAGACGACCCCACCAATGCTCTGGCCGATGATAGTTTTCCGAACATCTGTGCAGAGAAGATACACCCATAAAAACAGAAAACATGCACGGAGGTCCTCATTAATATGCGTAAATGCATCGTAGGTTCATCTGTGGAGCTGAACAGAAGGTGAAGATGGTTTCTAATTCAGTGTCTAGACAGATTTATTTATATGTATTCATATAATATTTATAGACAGATTATTTTGAAATCATCTGTTCCTTTTTCTGCATTCTCAGCTGAAATACCTTATTAAAGGAAAAGCTACATTTTCCTTCCTTCTGAAGGTCCATAATCTATATTATGGAAATGCACAAGACTAACACCAAACTAAACTGAAAGAAACAAACTACATATACTCCAAGTCAATGTTTTGCCCACATATTGAAGACTTCAGTTTTTTTCAACACCATAAAGTAATTAATGAAGGCCAAGAAAAAAAAAACCAAGTGAATAAGGTATTGGCAGATTTTTGAGTGGCGGCATTAACAGTTTAAAATGGCTGACACATAAAATGATGAATAACAAAGATCTTCAGCCAAAAGTGAAACTTTTGCATCTTTTCATTAGTTGCTTTGTTTCGGCTTTTCAATAAGAACCATCGGGTAAATTAAAAAAAGACCAAAATCCTGTACATTCTACAGTAAATTGATACATGTGTAATGAGATATATTGTCTTGCGGGTTGTTTCAGGCCACGGTTGGAGAGTCAGCAAGTCCTGCATTTGCGGTATATCTGGGCAAACAAGTCAGTTTACATTAAGGAGTTGTGTATGCCATCTCGCTAATAAAAACAAACAAGAAACCTTATAGTTCTAATTATTATTATTTAAAAAGGTTAACTGTCCTCAGTAAATCTGGAATTAGTAAGAAATTGCTGAGATATACGTAATTTAATTTGAGAGGTTAATTTGCTCATCAATTAAAGCAGTTGCTTTTTACCAATTTGCTCTAGAATCTTTTTTTTTTTAAGTTTACTTCCTCAGCCCAACTCAGAGACATCTCCATCTAAATGAATGCTCATACCGATCTCGCCACGGGTGCTCTCATCATTGAGGGAGCCGAAAGCAATTGCAGGGAGGAGGATGGCAATGTAGAGGAAGATAGCTGTGGTCATGTACTTCAGCAGCGTTTTATTACTGCCAACTACACCTGAGGGGAGACAAACACAAACACATGAGTCATATGCAGCTAATAATGAAGCGGAGGAGGCTCAGCACTTTAATTTAAAAATGACAAAAACATTAGCAGAATTCATCGTTCAGTAACTGGGGAGCATCCAGCACGCAGAGTGAAATGACTCTGCTGTGGCCTCCGCTGCTGACTGGCCCTTTAAAAATATGACTCATTTGTTTTGGTACTGTATAATCCATCATTTTGTAAGAGCAGTTCCCCGAATGATGGATAACTCATTTTGGAATAAAACACTAATTGGACTCTAATGTGATCACAATGGTTTTGGTCCTGTGACCTTCATAAGATGATCATTATCTGATGAAGCTCACATGTCAGAAATATCTTGATTTTATTACAGCTCAATGAATGCTTTTGGAGAATATGAAAAGAAAAAGGCCTGAGAGAGAGGCTGAAGAGGATCATAATTCAGCTTGAAACTCCACTCCTTACTCTGCTCTTTGTCTTTGGTCATTCATTTTTAATTAAACAGTTGCACTGAATCCATAAGCATGTCAATCCTGAACAGAAACCGAAAACATTGAGCATTTTCCTCTTTTTTCCTCTAAAGGTCAATGCTCTCATCTTTTTTGACTGGACAAGAAATTCCTTCATACAAATAAAAGGAGAGTAGGATTTGATGACTCAATAAAGCCACCGGCAGCAATGTATAGAGCGATGGCTGTGGTTGACGACTTGGGAAATTAAAGTAATAGTGGACATAAGGAAACATATGGTAGCAGCGAGACATTTAGACAATCATTTGAGCAAGATGTGGGACTCTTGTTGTGACATGGACGCAGAGCAGATGTATGTGAGGCACAGGGTGAAAGATAAATGAGGAGCTGCCAGCAGCACCCCGGTGAGGCATAATAAGGGAGATGATTCACTTTCTCTACAAGTCCGTGTCCAGCCTACCATCTGTGAAGTCAGAGGGGTAGAAGGGTATTCTGCGACAGAAGTCCTCATAAATCCCCCGGCCAGCTCTGAAGAAATCTTTACACTGCAGTGAGAAGGGAAAAGGTTAGACTTTCGACATGACCGCATACTTTCACTGAGGGGAAAGACCAAAGCTTGTATCATAATGTAAACTGTGAAACCCTTCAAGTTCAACTTTTTTAGTTAATAAAAAAAATATGATTAAACCATTTTTCATAGTTTATGCCCTCAAGAGCAAATTGTGGATAATCTTACGTACAAAATATATACATACTGTTTCTACAGAATTTTTTTTTACTAACCGTAACACCAGTATATCATTTTCTGCCACACATTTTGTCCTCTAAAACTATTTATTGTGAGTGACAGCGAGGATTTTGTAGATCAGATAAGGATAGTTGGCCATCTTCGACAAATTTCATAGCCATGATGTCTTTTTGGGGAGGAAGAGCTTTAGGACACAGATTTCGGTCTTTCTGAACTGAAGACCCTAAACCTAATTAGCACTCTTGTGTTAATGCACTTGTGGGAGTAAATGCGCAGAACTTCATTGATGCAGCTCTAGGTGAGAGGATTATATACAAAAATATCTTATGTAGACCGAGAATGTGTGTCCTGTTCCAACACACTGCCAGGACACTCATGTCAGGGACTGAATATGATGAAGCAATGAATGAGCACTTTGAAAGAATTAATAATAATAACAGTACTTGTCACTCTCTTGATTTCCTATCCATCTTCCACTCTGACATCTGTGGCAGGCAGCGTAAAACATTAACTTCTTACATTTCTACAAGGGAATGTCCCACCAACTAATCCTTGTGCAATTCTGCAGTTCTGTTTTGTCCCTTGTTTAATACTCGAGTTTTTTTTAATGCTCTGATATGTGAAGGCAAAACATTTCTTTCATGTGGATTTGTTCTTTCCTAATCACTCTGAGGCCTTTAAGACTCATTATAAAGAATCTGTGATCCTTCCCGTGTTACAGATGTGGATCCATAGTTCTGTGATTCAGCAGTTGTTCATTGTGGGATGGGATATCTGAACTTAGTAAAAAGAATAATCAGTTTTGTGATTTTGTAGGGACATCAAGGTCAGTTAAAATATTCTTTTTTCCTTAAGTGTAGTTAAAAAAAACAAAAAAAAACAAAGAGGCTTCAAACACTGAAGATAAAAGTGTGTCTTACGAGGACCGCCCCGGGAAAGAGAAGTTCCCCCTGCTTCGGCAGAGAGGTTCATTAGAGTTACCAACCGCAGAAATGACCAATTAAGAACACCTCTGATTACAGCCAACACACTTCAAGTGGTCGACATACTAAAACATCAGCTCAAAGACCTCATTAAGTGTGTGAGTCGAGTCTTTGTGGTGGGACCGCTGCAAAGACACCTGCTTGGGGCCAAGAATTGGAAAAAGCGAAGGCCATCCAATCCCCTCTTTGTGTTTGCTGATATGGGTGCTGTGTATACTGATGTGCTGCACATGTTTTACCACCGTAAAGCACAGAGGGGTACTGAGCTAAGGATGTGGGACAACTTACTGCATACAGATCCAAGTAGACAGTCTCCGCTTTGAGGAGAAATTGAAATTTTAAAAAAAGCCACTCGAGTAAACCTACATAAAGAAATGACATCTTGTTTCAGTGAACACTGTTTACTAAAGTTTCTATTTTGCTCTTTGGCATTCGGCTTATTTAGTTAGACTTATGATTGGTGACTCCAAAAAGCATGAAAAGCCTGAGGCTGCATCCAGCTCTGAATATTAGAAGATTCTGAACTCCGCTGTGGACGCTGACACAGTCAGATTAAAAGTGGCCAGCTAAGGTACTGGTGATTCGGCATGGGGCTCTCAGAGAGATAACTTGAATCATCAACATTAACGAGGTAGCCCTCAAAAGTTGTGTCATCCAAAACAAAGTGAGCAAAGCAGCGGGGCCGGATTTAGGTTTTCATTTACTAAAGATCTGTGTTTGCTGTGGATAACAAAGACTGACAGAGAGATGACAGCAACTGGGGGAAGGAAGATTTAGAGTATTTTTAGAAAGTTCAGGAGAAGGGGACCATGCGATTCAAAGGGAGACATAATGTGCCTCTTTACAACACGGGCTCTCAGGTTACACGAGGCAGAGAGTAAATGTGAATTCCTATTAAGCCTATTCAATTATTCAATTACCCTGTGTTTAATTTCCTTGTTGAATAAGGTTTTACGCAGTAAATGTAATAGGGCAATGCTCACATAAAGCAAACCGGGAAAATCATTCCAGACTCATCTGTCATCTTAAAAAGTTTTGACATTCTTTTGCAGAACAAAGCCATTTAGGTCAATATAAACAACATGAAAAGCAAACAACGGCTTCAGCATTTCCTCACTCTGGCTAATTTTATGAAGCCACACACATGCTTGTTCAACAGAAACTGTTCAGCCATTAAATCCTTATACATCATGGAATAATTTATTATTACAAGGGTGTGTGTGTGTGTGTGTGTGTGTGTGTGTGTGTGTGT